AATAGGCCTGAAAGAACAGTATAAAAAAAAAATTTAACAAATTTAAAATAAATTTTTAAAATCATATTGATGCATAAAATAGTTACTATTTTACAGTATGGTTTGTTTTTTGCAATATAAAGAAATTGAGGAAGTTTGTTTAGTTGATCCCTGAATAATAAGATGTTTACTATAGGGGAGGAACACAACAATAAATTGTAACAATGTTATAATTTGTTAAAAAGCGCGAAATGTGATACACAGCGTACGCAACAGTTTCAAGTTCATTCAGTGCAGAGACATGATTGGTACAGCATGTATGCTACAGTAGTACAAAACTTTACAGTTTTATTTATAAAAGGAAGCTTTGGATTAATTTTTACATTGAAGGATTCATGGATGTGTTTGACATATAATTTGAAATAATATAAGTATGATTAATATTGTTTTTACAATTGAAGGATATGCTTGTTTTGTACTGTACTTTTGATCATTAACCTAGCTAGGCCTAGGCCTACACAGTATAAACCTAACCCCACAAAAGCCTAGGCCCTAGGCCTATAGTATAATATTTATTACCTGTAGTAAGGGCAGGCCTATATGCCTATTTAATATGGCATTTAATATTAGTACAGTGTTTATTTTCAATTCACTCAAGCATGTCCGGTGGTGACGTATGTATTTGCATCGTCGTCGCAAAACTAAAACAAGAGCTTTTCATCTGTGTGGCCAACATTGTAATACGTCATAGATAATTTTTATATCGTCCTAGATTACTCGTCGTCGCATATCTAAAACTCCTTACTTTTTAATGTTTGATTGCCTGCATACAAAATAAGGGCAGTCGGACATCTCGCAGTTCTATACTCTTTGGTAAAATGACAGCTACAACCTTTCACAATATTTCTATACATACCTAAGGTACTTTTTTACACTACCTACTGTACACCCTAAGTCTACTTTTTGACGAAAGTAGAATCATACACGAATTACGAGTATCTACAGGTTAATACAGTGCTTATTAATGGGTAAAAATTACATAATGTTCAAAGAATGTTAAAAACATAATGTTAATTGACAAAATGTACTGTACCTATTGGCTAATAAGAGTTCTCCATGTTAATTACATTATATGTAAATAATAGTTAAAATAACTAAAAATGCTCATTTTACGCAGAGCAGTAAAAGCATACTGTAGCCTCCCCACCGTGAATATTTTCTCTGAGAATCAGACTAATACCAAACTTTAGTTATTAGTTATTGTGGTAACTAACAAACAATTTACTACCTACGACGACAACATGAGGACAACAACATGAAGAATATTTCTTGAAGGTTTGCATGGCGAGTATCAATAAACATATAACAAACTTTCGGTACACCATGTGTAAATAAAATAAAAGAATATGGTTTTTATTAAGGTAAAAACCACTGGTTGGTTGTCTCGACGTTTCGGTAAGATTGCTCTGACCGTCACCAGGAGAATGATAAAACATTAAGAATGCAGGTAAAGTCAGAAGCCTCCACGGAGCTTTGGAGGGCTTCTTCCCCCAGTGCCGGCTCTCACCCTCTGGATCCATACCTCGAGCAAAGCCCCAATACTACTGACATCAACTTTAAGCAAAGCTTCACACCACTGACATATAGTAAAACATCAGTACAAGGAAAAGGGGTTGGTAGTAGATACACATTTAGCAACAAACAATATGTGTAACTGCTCTTGGGCTCGGAGCCAGTTTGGGGTGTAGAGGGCGTCTTTGGTCATTCACACAAACTCGAACAAGGTAACAATGCGACCATCAGTTAAGCAATCTCAACCTTTATTTGTTTCAACTGTGTCTGTTTGACTACCAAATCGGCTGTCCGATCTATTGTTCGGTCCGATCTATTGTTCGGTGACTAAATACAAAAGTACAAATACGAATAATTAATATAAAAAATATAGATAAAAAATAGATAAATAAAATAAGTAAACAAGTAGAAAATGAATCATTGATAGTATCATAAAAATCATGAAGTTACACTCATGTAAATACATTATTGCAATACTGCAAGTAAACAACTGATCATTTAAACCCTTTACAGTAAATTACAAAATGTATTATTAAAACTGTTCGATAATGAGAAAACTGACAATGTATAATATCAATACAGTACAATAAACTGTCTCATCTTAATAATTGATTAAATACAGTATATTAAATAACCTTACGTGAATATGACCGCCTTTAGCCTCAAAAACTCATGTTAATCTTCTTAGTTAACATTATCTGTTCTGTAACATAATTAATGTTAAATGAATATAATATGTCATTTACTTTAAACATAACAATATAAAATACATAGGATCATGTACTAAAGTCTTAATTGTGATTACTGAATCATACACATTGTCACAGATTACTTCAATCATTAATTAATACAATCTGTGTCCGAAAACAAAGAAAGCTCTGGAGAACAAAGAAATCTCCAAAGGAAGTGGCTTCAGATAACAGTAAGCCATAAACCTAGTTGGCCAATCGGCATATAGCATATTACACACGTGATACATAAATATTCATAGTAAAAGATTCGCTTAGCGTCCCCACGCTAGCGGCAAACTCGAAGACAGTAAATAATTTGTGATAATTATAATACTTATGCTATAATTAAAAATTATACTATACTCTCAATTTACTATCCATATACTGTAAATATAGGCAAAAGAGGGTAAATTATCATGTGTAGTCTATGAATGATCACAAATATTAACCAGAACATATGGATACTAAATTACAAGCTCCTACATGATTACAACATTATACGTCTAGCTTTGTACTTCATTAAAGACATAAATCAATGCATGTTTACTAAATCAATAGTTAACTATTAAGAACAAAATATTATTAAATAATCTTAATCTACTTATTATAATCGTTAACTCACCAGTCATTGACTGCTACTGAAAGCCATGTAAAAAAAGGTAAAGCATTTACGCTCGCACGTTGGTAACTTTACCAGCAAAGTTTCATGCGTCTTTCTTAGACCGATACATGCTTACGAGTAACGCGAATTTTCAAAGTTCGCTCCGCCTCACAATGCGCACAAAAAATGGACGATGAGGGCGCACAGCACTGGAGAGATCTAACACTCCCCACGCTGAAATCATAAAAACAACACAGGATTTCAGAACTTTATTCAATAAAATTAAACACTTAACTACAACTAACAATGTTATTATTACAAGTTCGCAACTACTGCTTCTTTGCAATGGATCCTCTGTATATTATACATAGCTTGGCGATTGGACGTCTTAGAACACCTCCTGCTACCTTGACATCGACACTGCGTACTCTTCCGTCCTGGCTTCTATAGACAGACAAGACTTTTCCCATCGTCCATCTTCCTCTGGGAAGGGTCTCATCTACCAAAAGAACAATGTCACTTACCTCTACGTTTTGTCTTGGTGTTGTCCATTTGTGCCGTTTCTGAAGAAGGGGCAAATATTCCCTCTTCCAACGGGTCCAAAAAAGCGAAGCTAAATACTGTACCTGGAGCCAACGCCTTTTGCCATAAGCTTCAATTCTACCTACAGGAGCAACAGGGCCCTTTCGCATTAAGAGAAGGTGATTAGGTGTCAATGGCTCATCGTCATAAGCTTCTGGTGATAAGTCTGTGAGTGGTCTAGAATTCAATATTGATTCTGCTTCGGCTAAAACCGTAAGTAGTACATCATTGTTAATCACCTGTTGTTTAAGAACATTACACAATATTTTTCTTACCGATCTTATTAGGCATTCCCAAACGCCGCCAAAGTGGCTAGCTGCAGGTGGGTTAAAGTGCCACTCAACACCCTTGGTATGAAGGAATTCTTCTACGACACTTTGGTTCATATCAGTCAAGGCTTTTCTAAGCTCTTTTTCACGTGCAACAAAGTTAGTTCCGTTATTACTGAACATTTTTGACGGTTCGCCACGCCTGGCCACAAATCGCCTATAAGCGTTTATAAAAGAATCTGTGCTTAGACTATCAGCAACCTCAAGGTGGACAGCCCTTGAAACAAGACAGGTGAAAATACATCCATATCGTTTGACAGTAGAACGACCTTGTCGGACGTCTATGGGACCGAAATAATCAACACCGGTGAAAGTAAAAGGTGGTTTATCTGCAGTGGTGCGTTCGACAGGAAGAGATGCCATCTGCTGTTCACACCTTCTTGCATTCATTCTTTTGCAAGTAACGCAGTTTCTAAGGATGCCTTTAACCACTGATCTACCTTTTAAGATCCAAAATCTTTCCCGGAGAGCGTTCAATGTTGCTGTCCATCCATTATGTCCAACCTTCAAGTGGTAATACATCACTAGTGACTTGACTAATTGACTATCGTTAGCCAATATAATTGGGTGTTGGGCATCATAGTCGATTCTAGCACGATCAAGCCTACCTCCTACTCTAATTACTTGACCTATTAGTACTGGATTTAGATTCTTGAGTCGCTTGTCTGATTTCCAGTTCGGGAACGACTGCCTTTGTCTCCATGAAATAATCATTGTCTCACTTTCTTGCAATTCTGACACAAGCAGGTTGCTTGTTACTACGGGTTGATGTCTCACCTTGAGTCTGAGGGATTTTACAAATCGTAAGATCCACCCAAGGACACGTACAAGCTTCGACCAAGATGAGTACTTAGATGTTAACTTCGCCATAAGACTACCATCACCTATCGTTACCTGGTTTACTACCACCGACTTTCTAATTTCTGGGTCATGACTTACCTGATCATTTTCGATATATCTGGATACGGGCCAGTTTGATTCATCTTTTGGCAAGAATTCTGGGCCTGTTAACCACTTACCTAATTCGTATGTGCCCCTGGAACCTTCATCAGCGGGGTTTTCTTCACTTGGTACGTGTCTCCATTGGTGTTTATTAGAGACGCTTAGTATCTTAGATACTCTATTAGCTACAAACGTTTTGTAGCGACGGCTTTCATTTCGGATATAGCTTAGGACTATCATGGAGTCGCTCCAATAGACTGTTTCCTTAAATGAGAAGGCAATTTCCCTTCTGATGGTGCTATCGAGCGTTGCAGCTAATACTGCAGCCATTAGCTCTAACCTAGGGATAGTGACAAGTTTCATTGGTGTAACCCTAGCTTTACCAAGAACAAATTCTACAGAAGGTTTCTTACCTTGATTCTTAACGCGCAGATAGGCCACAGCAGCGTAACCCTTCTCCGACGCATCGCAGAATATATGCAGTTGAGCGTCTGTATTTGAGTCGAGTTTCTTCCATCTAGGTACACTAACCCGTGACAATATTGATGTCCGTTCCATCCATTTGTTCCAGGTCGCCCTTTCACTGTCGGTCAACGGCTCGTCCCAATCCGCACCTCTCCTACACACCCCCTGAAGGAGGGATCTAGCTAATAAAACATATGGAGCAGCCATACCTAAAGGGTCGAAGATCGAGCTGGTAATTGAGAGCAATCCTCTTCGAGTCGCTGGTTTTTCTTTGGGCGCTAGTTGGAATGTAAAGCTGTCCTTACCTGCGTTCCAACATACACCTAGAGTCCGCTCTGTAGGCAGTTCGTCAAGTGAAAGTGAAACAGATGGAGATCGCTCAGTCTCTTGTACGCTGTCGATAACTTCTCGTTCATTGCTTAGCCATTTTGTAAGCTGGAAGCCACCCTGACGTAAGATGTTGGTTAATCTACTCACCAACCTAATGGCAGTCTGGTTGTCCTTTGCTGTGGCAAGGCAATCATCCACATAGAAGCTAGTTCTAATGACTTCAATGGCTTGTTTTCCTATCTCGTCGCTGTTGGATGATTCACAATCATCAGCTCTCTGTTTCAGTGCTTTACCTGCACAACATGGAGATGAAGTTGCACCGAAAAGATGCACAAACATTCGATATTCACTGTATGGTTTACGCATGTCACCGTTTACCCACCACAAAAATGTGAGCACATCCCTCGGATTCTCGCATTCTAACCTGGTGAAACATGGATTTTATGTCAGCAACTACGGCCAATTTGCCTAGCCTAAATCGAAGGAGAACGCCGAAGAGGTCATTCACTAGGTCTGGACCCTTTAACAACATGTCATTAAGAGATGTTCCTGCATATTTCGCCGCACAATCATATACGACTCTGACCTTTTCTTTGTGGGGATGTACAACAGGGTGGTGGGGCAAATACCATACATTACCCGGTTCACCTTTGTCCTGGACAGGTTCGGCATAACCATCTGCAATATAGCCCTCAATAACAGATACATACTTACCTTTTAGGTTTTCGTCAGCAACGAGTCTCCTCTTTAATGAAGCAAGTCTGGACTCAGCCGTCACTCTGTTGTTGGGCAGATGATGTTCATTGTGTTTCCATAATAACCCCATCTCATAATGGTTGTCGTCCGTCTTCCTAATCGTCGACTGAATAATGTTACGTGCCCTTACGTCCTGCACAGAATCTTGTTCTTCAGAAAGTCCGCTGTTCTCAATAGCCCAGGATTTCTGAACTTCGTCGAGTAGCATTTGGTTCGTTACATTAATTCTGTTGAAGTATCCCTTTCTACAGCCTTGTCCTCCGGGTCCCATGACAGACCATCCAAGGGGTGTCTTTACTCCGTATGGATCTCTGGGTTTACCCTTTCTTTCATCTAGTACCCAGAACGCTTGAGGAGAATCTGCTCCTATTAACAAATCTACCTGAACTGACTGTGGG